GCTTTGTCCAAAGCAAGGAATTTGTATTTTCGTGGGAGCCGATCTCTTGAAACCTGGGGTAGGTTTCTGTGGGTAATTCTGTCTGACACCTTTTCCTAAGGACATATGAGTGAGTAAGGTTCCTGAAAAATAAGTGTTATAATTTGGAAATGGAGAGATTATGAAGATTAAGCCAATCCCAAAAGTGGCACTTTTCAGCTGTGATTGGATCAGATCGGAAACAGTCTTGCTTCTGCATCAGTTAATTAAAATATGATTTTTAAAAATAACACCTCTGTTGGCCTTCCCTCTTCCTAACTTACCCACTTCATCTTTTCCCTCCATTTCTGTTTGTTTCTGAGCTTAGTATTGTGAAGGATAAGCTAGAAGTTGCATTCCCAAGGCAAAGAGATTCCTCGTGGTATTTTCTACCAGCAAAACCTATGTGCTTCCCAGAAAAGAGAGTGGAACAAATAGAACTTGGTGAGAGGAGAATTAAAATTCCTCAACAGTCCTAAGTTTCTGTAAATTAATTAAGGTAGACAAGATAAAGTGGGACATGAGACCAGAAACATGTGAAAAACTCCTAAGTTTGGTGTGGTCCCTGCAGTCCACAAGACTCACAGGAAACACTAAAACCTGGGCATCCCCACCCCATCTTCCTGTTGCATAAGCTAACTCCCAGGGCAGCAGCTGGAGCCCTGCTGCTACTCCAGTGTGCCCCCCAGCATATGTGACTCACCTCCCGCCTGGAGCGAAGGCAGCTCCCACTCCTGCCCCCTGCGGGTGCCCTTGGAATGAGCCAGGGCTTTGCCCGCAGGTTAATAAAAATGTGCATAAACTAGACTGGCTGTTTTAACACCATGGCTATTATTGATATTTTCCACACACTTAACTCGGCAAAATTGAAAACACAGGGACAAGTTTGATTTTGTGCCAGCCAGCTCACACTCTAAATTGATATTAGAAGGTGTTTGTCACCATGGAAAAATCAATATGAACTATCCCATCGAAATGCCTGCCACACTCGAGAGCCCAAGGCCCTGTGTGTGCCGTCGCATCTGAGCGCACTCCTGAGGACTTGGATGGGCCTTCACTGCCATCCTCTTCTGTCTTATCTCTAAGTTGGGGGGTTCCCTGGGGAAGTTTCAGGCAGGAACCTGATACGTACTACCTGACTATTGCCCATCTGTTTTTTACCTTCAAGTGGGGAAAGGGCACCTCATGGGAACGCTGTACACCAGCTTTCAATGATTTAACCTCCCACCCTTGTTCCTGGGAAGGTTCCTTAGTTTTCTAAAGCTATGAAACTTGAGATGGCCGGTCTTGTCAATGTCATGGGCTTAAAGATGCTCAGGGCTACTGATGGCACTTTTGGTTGAGCATGAGGGGTTATTTCCAGAAAGGATTGTATTTGGGGCCGTAACATCGGAGAGGAGAGCCATTGTCGTGCGAGTGGGCAGCACCATGAATGCCCTAGTAGCCAGGTGGCATAGAATGTGGACAAAGTCCGAGGTGTGCTCACACGCCCCCCCCCCCCCGCGCCTCCCTGGCTGCCTGTGAACAGTAATCCCCCAACATGCTCCTGCCACAGTGCTCTGGAGAGCTCCTCAGCCCAAGCAGCTCGGAGCCGAAACCATGAGCCAAAATGAATCCTTCTTTCCAGACAAGTCGCGTCTGTTACAGAGTAACCGCCCACACAGCCATCCCACCATGTCGTCACTTCCTCTTCCCCGTCTGTCTGTCACAATTGGTTGTTCTTGCTTTGCTTTCATGTCTGAGGATAATTTGCAGTGTTAGCAGCATCTACAGTCTGTATTTATTTGCAGTATTAATGTCTGGGAGGGGACAAATAAGACCATTAGCAATATATACATAACCTTTTTTGCTGCTATTTACCCACAAGAGGGGCATTCACTTTTATTTCCTTCTTTTTTATTCTAAGCAGGAAGTAGTATAAAAGGTTTATTGTGTTTTTTTTAGAAAAAAAATAATTAGCTGAGAATGAAACTCTTGCTAATGTCACCATTTTTATGCTGAAAATCTTTTATTATGCTCTACCTACCTGATAAATTTCAGTTGTCTTAAGAAATAATTTAACACTGCCAAATCTTGATACTTAATGTCCTGCTGGAATCGCATTGATTTTCTTTGCTTAGTTGGCAGCCTTGGCTCTGCACTTGGCAGGTGTGCTTACGCTGGAGCTGTGACGCACTCTCTCGGGATGTAATGGGCTACTGCCATGATGCCAGGTGCACCCTGGGAAATCGTGGTAAGCTGGTGGGCTATTTCCCACCTCAAGCTTCTGTCCTGCTGTGGGTCTGATTCTACCTCGGATGGCTGGTCCTGCTTTATTTCACCTAGAAACGAGGAAATTCCAAAGTGATCTAAATATGCTAGGAAGAGAATCCCTGTGACTGAAAGTCTGTGGACCCCGATACTGGCGTCTGCGGGACCCCAAAACTGGCTGCCTCTCTAAAGTCACCTGCATTCTCCAAAACAGTGTTCACTCCACCAGTTCCTATGGATGCCGTGTTTAGAGAGAAAGCTGAAGTAGGAGGGTGACTGCCTTTGAATGCACACAGGCCAGCCAGCGAGGCCTCGAGGGGATGATGTCATTACTCAGGGTACAGTTAGCGATGATGAAGCCCAGACTTCCTGGATGCAGGAATTTGCAGATTCCACTAGTCTCATGACCAGTATTAAAAGAGTGGGGCCAGCCAGGTGACCGGGTGAGTGCCTTTAATTTCAGCACTCCGGAGGCAGTGGCATGCAGATCTTTGTGAGTCAGAGGCCAGCCAGGTCTATAGAGTGAGTTCAGGACAATCAAGGCTACACAGAGAAATCCTGTCTCCAAAAACAAAACAAAACAACAACAAAGATGCCCTTCCCCCCAAACAACAACAAAAATACCCCCAAACAAACAACAACAAAGTGGGGCAAGTGGGGGATTTTGTCAACAGTGCGAGAGGAGAGACAGGGATGGATGTCTTATGTGAGAGAATGTGGGCCCCCAGCTGCAGTGTCCACATTCTGAACCACACTCTGGGGACATGGCTTTGCAAAGAGTATATGAGGAGACCCGCTCGTCAGTAGTGTTCAAAAGTTAAAGAAGACGAGTAGAGTGGACCAAGCCAGAGTCTTCTAATGAGCTGTAGAACCCATGTGTCCGAGCCCCTGTTTCCTCCACAGGCCACAGGTGACTCATTGAATACTTTGCTAGTTTACTAGTTGAGAATGTAGGCTCTGGACCAGCCATACTAGCTGAAGTTCTGGTACTTCGTTGGCTATCTGACCTTTATTCTGAACCTCCCACAACTCATTTCATTTTCTCTGAAATGATGGGTTAGCGAGGGCAGCATTGCACAGGATCTTAACAGAATGTGCTGAATCCTGGAGGCTTGCACGGTAAATGGGTGCTCAGTGACTGCAATTTCCTTTTGTGACTGAAACATGCTCTTATTCAGAAAATTTTGAGCTCCTGTCCAACTCTGAAAGGAAGAACAGACAAATAAATAACTCATCAAAATCCTAGATGTGAACCTGCTTGTTTGGAGACGAGATCTTACCACATAACCATGGATAGCCTAAAACTTGCTGCATAGACCAGGGTGGCCTCTGTAGGCCTGCTCTACATGAAGGTCTAGGCTAGGAGCAGGGTGCAGTTGTGCTGGGCTTAATCTCGGCTGTGGCAGGTGCGCGGCTTCAAGGCCAGTCTGGTCCACCATAATGTTCCAGGACAGCTAGGGCTACATAGAACCAGCTTAACCTAGAACCCGCCTCATGCGGATTGCTGCACCACCATGCCCCAATCTTCTCCTTTAGGAACCTTAGAATCTCTGTTAAGTTCTCAAGTTCCTCCTTCCTCTTGTTTAAGCAGGATGCCCACTGTTCAGAAAAATTAACTGTGCTAGTGTTCAGGGTCCCACAACTCTGTGTGGTCTTCTGAGAGACAGTTTCCAGGTTGCTGCTGAGGGAACGGCAATGTCCTACAGATTCTTCAGCCAACTGTGCTGCCTTGGCTAAAGTGTCTCAGTTCTTATAATCATCAGAATCAACAACAGGTTTTTTGGTTTTTGTGTTTTTTACTGTGAATTGTTTTTTGATTATGTCTATAGACTTCCGCTCTGTCTTTTCTTGAATACTGCCTTAGTAGTTTCTGGATGTTTCCATATTTCTCCAAAGCACAGAGCCTCTCTGTCCAAGTATTGATTAACTGGCAAAGTTCCTACGATTGCGTTTCCTTTATTGTCTTCAGCTCCATTTAGGTTACCCAAAGCTTTTTCAATTCCACCAAGGAAGGAACTGTATTTTCTTGGAGTTCATGTAGATTATTACATAATACACTGAGAAAACCATAAAATAGGAGAGACTGTATTAAGACATCACAGTAAATGCCGTTGAATTGAAAGGCCTATTTACCATTCCTTTATTCCAAGTTATATAGTAAGTTCAGTTTCATTCAGGATTTACATTGAATATGTGTGTTTCTGGCTTTTTATATAAAGTAACAAGTGGGGATTTTTCTTGTATATTATTAGATACCAAACATGGCAACTGTTTTTCCAGCTTGGACTTAAGCAGGTGAATGCCATCTTCCTTGCTGTCTTGATAGGGCTGAGTTCAGTATGTTTTATTTACCTCTAACCAGCCTTTTCTCTTCTGTCTTCTCAGCTCACTTCTCCCTTTTTCTGTCACTAAACCATTTGTAAACCATTTGTAAGAAAGATTTTCTTATTATGAGAAAACCAAGATTTTTTACCTAGAAATCTTATGTTTCAGTGATTACAATCATTGTCAATAATGTTCCTGACCCTGAAGTTTAAAAAAAAAAAAAAAGATGGTTGGAAACTGTACTTACCCAGCTATTTTCATTTACGAGAATTATGAACTATCACCAGCCACTTACCAGTGTATTCCAAATGCAGATGTTCTTGCTGTGATGGCAAACGTTCCAAACCCCGTGAAAGCCGGACTTTAATCAGTTCTCTTTCCTTCTCCTTCCTCATCCCACCGGGAAGAATTCCCTGACCAGAAGTGCACCCCTTCCCAACGACTCCCAGGCGCGCAGCGGGGCTCGCTTTCACACATCCTATGACAGAAGATATGTCATCAAGACCATTACCAGCGAGGACGTGGCAGAGATGCACAACATCCTCAAGAAGTACCACCAGGTAAACCCTCTCGTCTTACCCTGAAGCAGTTTGCACACGCCATCAGAACCAATGTAATGAGGCCGTGCCGACATGAAAAATCTCCTCTAACCTGGTGTGCCAGATTACTGATCCTTGACATGAGAACGCTTATGCTTGATATTTACATAATAGTAATTTAAATGATTTAAAATAAATGTAATCTACTCATGCTTCCCATGATCACCATTCTGGTTGTAAACATGGCTTCACTAAAGATCTGGCAGCTTTCCAGAGGGTTCCCTCAGTGCCAGAAGTTAGACGTTAGCCCTGAGTCTGTATCTGTTTGCACCACTGCGTCCTTGCTGCTCTCACTGTCCACCATGCAGGAAATTCTCCTGTTGGAGGAGTGTTGGTCGCATGCTGCCCAGTTCATCCTCAACTTTGTAATCACCTGGGCATGAGAAGAAGTGCTTCCTGTCTTCCCCGAAGGAAATTCAGCCTGGTTTTGCTGGAACACAGATCCAGGTCCCACTGGACCAGTAAAAGACTGAAATAGGAGGAACCCCAAAGCCAGCCCAGTCTCCTGCAGACCCTGGGACTTCTGGATTTTGAGACCTGTCTCCTCACTTAATTAATTAACTTACTTGTTTCAGGACAGAGTTCCTCTGTGTAGCTGTGGCTGTCCTGGACTTGCTCTGTAGACCAGGCTGGCCTCAGACTCAGAGCTCTGCCTGCCCCTGCTCCCTGAGGGCTGGGATTACAGGCGTGTGCCACCGCAGTTTATTTTATGTGCATTGGTGTTTTGCTGCACGTATGTCCGTGTGAGGCTGTCGAGTCACCTAGAGCAGGATTACCAACAGTTGTGAGCTGCCGCGTGCCTTCTAGTATTTGAACCCAGGTCTTCTGGAATAACAGTCGGTGCTCTTAACCGCTGAGCCACCTCTTCACTTACACAGAGAAAATGCTCCTACCTCCCCGGTCCCAAAGACTCAGTGAGGAAACACTATCAGGTGCAGGTCAAGTGTGTGCAGTTTCCGGCGCACACTTCGTGCTCAGCGTAAGGAAGGGCGGTGCTTTGTCCTGGTACCATCCCACCTGTCCTGTCACTGTAGCACAGTAAGTCGTCCTGGGACATTGTACATGATCTCTTTGCACAAATGTCACTGATTACGCAACTGTGGCAGTAATTATCCTCAGAAGCGGTATGCGTGGAGTGTGCACACACACATACACAAAACATATGATTTGTTGCTTTCAGAGACTGTCTCAGTCTGCTTGCCTGTCAACAACACACTGAGTGACTTAGCAAAGAATTGTCTCTCGCAGTTCTGGAGGCTGGGAGGTTGAGATCAGGGAGCCGACGTGGTAGAGGGCCCTAGAGGACCCTGCTTCTGTTCGTGTCCACAGTGTCCCATCACGGGGGAGGTGGGACAGCCTCTCTGCTGCCTCCAGCTAAGTGCGTGAATCACATCACACCCACAGACCCATTTCCCACACAGTGGTGAGTGGGGTTTTAAGTGTTGTGTGCATGCCTGCACGTGTGTATGTATATCTCGTGTGTCTCTGTGTGTGTCTATGTGTGTATATCTTTTGTGTATGTGTCTCTGTATATGTATTTGCCTCTGTGTGTATGTGTCTGTGTGTCTGTGTATGTATCTATGTGTGTATGTGTCTGTATGTGTATGTCTGTGTCTCTGTGTGTTTATCTGTGTCTGTGTCTGTCTCTGTGTGTTTGTGTGTCTACTTGTGTGTATGTGTATCTGTGTATAGTTCACATGCATATGCAGGCATGTGACCACCAAGTGAGCATGGGTGCCTGTGGGGGTCAGAGAGCCTAGAGCTGGAGTTTCCGGTTACTGCGCTTCCTGGCTGGGTGCTGGGAACCAGCTCTGGTCTTATGTGAGTGCTCTCATTGGCTAAGCCATTGCCCTAGCCTGTGAGTAGGACTTAAAGCTGTGAGTGGAGAGAGAACAGAAATGCTTTTACCTAAATAGCTCTAAATTCCCCACCAGTGAAGACAGGCTGTGAGAGAGGGTGTTCCAGCTTCTGTGAGGCCTGGCAGTCAGGTCAGGATTCACCGAGTTTAGTCCCTCTCCGCTGCTTTGGTGGCAGCTCTCATGTATGTGTGAGTCCTAAAACGACGTTCGTGAAGCTTTACTTTTGGTCGAGCTCTGTGCCCCAATGTGGTGGGTTGTTTAACAGTCGCTATTCTCCCAGTCTTTGCAAATGTGATCGATCACATTTTACCTTCTGCGAGCTCTGTAAAACCTTCAGATTCGTCCTGTTTCTGGAAACCTGTGACTGCCTCTGTGTTCTCTGAGGGCACTGGTCTGCCTTAAGTTCCTTACCATCTCATACATCTTTGCTCCCAGCTGCTGCTTTTAGAATTTGTTCTGCCATGCTTGCGCCACTGCCTGTTATAAAAGAACCTCAGAGTGTCCACCTAAACCCAGTGAGGGTGAAGAGACTGGCTTTGAAGCACCCAAGTTCTAGTCCGGCTTCAGGCTCTACGCAGGCTCATATGCTTCCTCTTCCTGGAATGCCCTCTCTTTATGGTTCACTTGTCTTGGAACCACACATAGCCAAGTGGCATCCTGTGACTGGTGAGAGTGTATTCTGATAAACAGCGAAGATGCCTTTCTAAGAAAATGGGACATATAGTTTGAGTATTCACTTCTTGGAGAGCCTGGGCTCAGAGTGAACTCTTCAACTTTACAGAAACCATAGTTTAAGGTCTGCTCTAGTTTCATGTCTGTTGCCATGAATAAAACAGCCTAACCAACAGCAACTTAGGTTTTCTAGTTCCAGTTTACAGTCCATCCCCAAGAAGAAGTCTAGGCAAAATTCAAAGCAGTTAGTCACATAATATCCACAGTCAAAACTGGAGAGAAAGAAGTACTTCCTTGCTGCTTGCTAACTCAGCCAGCAACTTTCATTCTTCTGTAGTCCAGGGGATCCGGCCCAGGGAATGGTCCCACCCACAGTCAGCTAGGTCAATTAACAATCAAGACTATCCCTCACAAAGATGCCCACAAACCGGTCTCATTCCTTTTTGAAATTTCTCTGTTCCAGGTGATGTAGGTTATGTTGAGTTGACAGTAAAACTCAGCCACACAAGGCGTTTTTCTGAGGGGACTTGCTATGACCTAACACACAGATTGGGCCTGTCCCCATGTTGTATAATCATGTTGGGCATTTGGACAGTTGCTGACACACTTCAGGATTACTCACAGTGCTAGGATAACCTTTTGTTCCACTGCTACCAAACTGTTATTTTTGGTATGCCTTTTATTCAGAAAAATCCCATTTAGCCAGTGTCTGTGTTTTTCTCCCATCTTGGACACTGACTACTTTAGATGTAATTTAAAGGATGACTGAGAACCTCTGTTATTAATGCGCTTTACTTAAGTGACAGTACACTGGATCAGATGGCGCAGGCCCCAGCTGGTTGTGAACTGGCTGCTTATGTGATCTGTGCGCTCAGATCTCCAGTCAATGTTCCATTTCATTAACTCATTCAGTTGGGCATTTACCCATGACCATGTTCCAGAAAAAAACTTGAAGTCGTCTTCAGAGAAAAAAGATAAGCCAGATTTAAAAAGCAAAACAGGCTGAAAAGGGTGGATAAAAAGGAAAGAACCTGATTGCAACTTGAAATAAGCCCAGACTTCTTGGTCAGTCTTTGAAGCGTTTTAGAACATTGCTGTCTAGAGGGCTGCCAGTTTGAGCTGAGCAACCCTGTAGCCAGAGGGCACCCCAGTAAGTCATCTGTGTGGCTGACTGAACACACTGAGTCGATTGCTAAGAAGCAGAGCTGCCTTTGATATAGAATATGACAGGTTGTCTTGTACAGGCACCTGACCCTGTAAACAACATCTTTACAGGCACATGGTTCACACAGGAATATCACGGAACTCTCCATAAAGGAATCAGTGTAGCCATTGAAAGCACACCAACATTACATTCAGTGAGCGTGCTTGTGTGTGCTGGCCGTTTTGGCCTCTACCACGCTGTCTTTTGCCTGCTGCTCTTTATATCTACCACGTAGCTTTGGTGAAGGCCTGGTGGGAGCCAGGCCTTGATGTCCTCTTGTGATCCTCCTGTGGCCAGCATCCTGTTTGCAGGCGTAGGGATGTTCTTGCAAGGTGTAGTTAGGGTTTCTACTGCTGAGCTGTAACACCCAGGACCACTGGCCTCCGGACAGCACCCCCCAGCATGGGCTGGGCCCCGCCTCCACAGTCACTAATTAAGCTGGATCGTATGGAGACATTTTCTCAATTCAGGCTCCCTCTTTTCAGATGACCTAAAAAAAACTAGCCAGGACAATTGACCCCTTGTCAGTTTGACACACAGACACATCACTGTTAAGCCACAACCATTTCACTTCCTGTTCATCCCCAAGATCAGACATTAACATGAACATCATAACATAGAACATTTTACAAACGTTGAAAGTTCCCATGGCAGTTCAGTATCCAAGTGGGTTCCATTGTAATAGGAACAGGGACTGTCTCTGACATGAACTGATTGGCCTGCTCTTTAATCACCTCCCCCTGAGGGGGAAGCAGCCTTACCAGGCCACAGAAGAAGACAATGCAGCCACTCCTGATGAGACCTAATTGACTAGGATCAGAAGGAAGGAAAAGAAGACCTCCCCTATCAGTGGACTTGGGGAGGGGCGTGCATGCAGAGGGTTGAGGAACGGAGGGAACCACAGGGGGGATACAAAGTGAATAAAGTGTAATTAATAAAGAATTAAAAATAATAATAATAAAAGAAAGTTCCATAGTTTTCACAAATTCAGACACTTTAAAATTCAGACTCTTTAAAATTCCAAAATCTCTTTTAAAACTAAGAGTATCTTTAAAAATTAAGTCTCTCAACTGTAGGCTTCTGTAAAATAAAAAATAAATAGAATACTTTCTTACTTCAAGAGGTAAGAATTAGGGCATAGTCACAATCAAAGCAAAGCAAAGCCAAACTCCAAAAATGTAAATAATTCATCATCTAATATCTGGGACGCACTCATGCTCTTCTGG